AATTTAAGCCCGCGGGCCTATAAAAATGTCCAAGCCCGTCCGAGGGTCGGACCGGGCCGGGCCGGCCCGTCGGGCCACCCGGCCCATGAACAGGTCTAATTGCCACCCGTGTGGTTGAGCCCACTTGCTTTACCCAAGCCCATAAACATCCTGAATGGCGTTCAGCAATGGATAAAGAATACCAGTCACTTATTGACCAGGGTACATGGACTCTAGTACCCATTCAACCTCACATGAATGTTGTYAGTTGCAAATGGATGTATAGAGTTAAGTATAACTTTGATGGTTCTATTAATAAGTACAAGGCCCATCTTATTGTCAAAGGTTATCTTCAGCAACCCAGTGTTGACTTTATTGATACTTTCAGTCCTGTGGTCAAGCACTCCACTATACGGGTTGTTTTATCCCTTGCTATCTCTCAAGGCTGGCCACTATGACAATTGGACGTTGAGTGTACCTTCTTACATGGCAACCTTCAAGAAGTTGTATACATGGCACAGCCCCAAGGGTATGTTAACCCGATTCACCCCACTTATGTTTGCAAGATGAATCCATTTATGGCCTCCTCAAGCTCCATGAGCCTGGTATGATAAATTTGGGTCCACTCTTGTTGAATTGAGCTTCATCATCTCTCATGATTCAACTACTATCTATTTGTTGCTCTACGTGGACGATATCACGATTACAGGAAATAATTCAGCCTTCATTGATGGTCTTATTGCTGCCCTTGGCACCTCTTTCAAGATGAAGGACTTGGGTCCATTATCCTTTTTTCGTGGTATTGAGGTCCGTCGGGACTAATCGGGCTTGTTTCTCACTCAGTCCAAGTACATTATGGACCTTCTTGAACGACTTCACATGACCGGTTGCAACCCCATGCCCGCGCCAACTTCTGCAGACAAGCTTTGCCATGATGACGGACCCCCTCTTTCTGATCCTTCTTTATATAGGAGCGCTGTGGGCACCTTGCAATATGTGACACTGACAAGGCCTGATATTGCCTTTGCTGTTAATTAATTGTGCCAATTTCTGCACCAGCCCACTGAGGCCCATCTTGCTGCTGTGAAAAGAATAATGCGCTATTTAAAATGAACAATCTCTTATGGACTTCTCTTCTGCCCTGGCCCACTTTATTTGTCTGCATTTTGTGATGCCGATTGGGCAGGTTGCCCATATGGCTTCTGTGTTTTCTTAGGCTCCAATCCTATTTGTTGGGGTGCTAAAAAGCAAGCTACAGTATCACGTTCATCCACTGAAGCAGAGTACTGCTGTTTGGCCCACACTGCTGGTCAATTCTCCTAGCTCTGTTCTCTCTTTCAAGAGCTTCATGTTCCCATACTTCAGCTCCTACCATATGGTGTGATAATGTCTCCGYCATTGTAATGACATCTAATCATGTCTTTCATACACGCACCAAGCATATTGATGTAGATTACCACTTTATTCGTGAAAAAGTGGTTCGTAAAGAATTGGATGTGCGCTACATTGCCTCCAATGATCAACTAGCCGRCTTATTTACTAAGGGTCTTTCCTCTTCATCCTTGTTTTTCCTTTTGAACAAGCTGCACGTGGGCCTCCCCCCGTCCAGCTTGAGGGGGGCTGATAATGGAACCTACATCCACGTCACTCACCTTGGCTCTCCGGATACATCATGACTCTTGTATACAGTTGTAACCATCTCAGCTTGTAGTCTTGTAGTTTATGACGGCAAGCCATTGAGGCTTATCTCTTAATCTTCTTGTACCAGCTTTCATATAAATAGATACTACAACAGCTGCCCAAATCCATCGGGTTTTAGCTGTAATTCTTCAAATCTCCTGTCTACACTTTCAAGCTTTTCAAAGCAAAAGCACAGTTTTAAAACTTTTATTTCTTTTCTTTTCTTTTTTTTTTCGCTGATTTGACAATTTCGAAAACAAATGAAAATAAACTTTGAACCATTAACATTAATAATCGTAAAAACTAATGTTGTTAGACTCAAAACGGACTGAATGGTTGAACCAATGATCCAGTAACCATTTTTGGTGCTAATTAATTGACGGTTTTCATAGTGAGAACTAGGGGTGCAACTTGGATCAGATTGGGTTGCGAATTTTCCAAATTTTCCATAAAACGAAACCATAACCTGAGCCTGATTTTAAATCGGCCGATCCGGCTTGTAACCCTAGGTTGTGTTTGTCACGATTGTTGTTTACACCTCAAATATTTTGAATTGATTAATTAATACAAATTGATGAAAAGTAGATATATTGTAACATCACATATGAGAATCATTTCAGTTAAAAAATTGCACTTGTTTGCATTTGATTATTGATATTTCTAATTGAAACATCAACAAATTACACATATCAGGTAATGACCTAACCGGCGAATTAACCCATCGAACCATGATCAAGTAAGCATTCCAATTATTTGTGCAATCTCAGCTTGACAGCATTGGTAAAAACTACCAGCACAACAAGACAGTATTAAAATGGGCTGTAGCATTGAAAATGGAACTCAGATCTCCTGAAAGCAAATAGAGTAGAGCTTTCAGCCACAAATTATGAATATCTCCTCTACATATATATTAAATTCATGGGGAGATGTTATCAATGTATGACTGCGTGCATTACTCTGCTTTCAGTGAATCCTGTCTTTTGAATACATGGCCAATTCAGTGGGTCTCCTGTCAGATGGATGGTCCAAATTGATCACAGGATCCCTTAATTAAACATGGCACGTCTAGCTGACTAGAAACCACTTACTCTGAGAAATTATTTTGTGGGTTCCATATCTATTGTTTTCATCAATTCTCCTTTAATGGGCTAATTGAGATGGACTTCTCTATGGGCTTCCTTTAAAAGTCCAATTCTCTATGGACTTCTCCTGATCAAATTAGATAGCTTAGAGATTCATGTTTAATTCATTAATATTTAAATATGTCCACTGGTTTGGATCAGAATGAGATGGGATCATAATATTAACTAAAAAATTATTACAATATTAAATCGAAGTAAAACTAACTTGAAAATAACTACCTGCGTGTCAAACACTCAAACCCTAGTGAGTAGTGAACATTCAACCGCCGAGGTTCAAAGTATTGTTATATGGTGGAAAGGGTGTATTGATACTTTATTCCATTTCTTTTTTACCTTTTTTTTTTTCAAAAATATGACAGTGAAAAGGTTTTAATATAGTTTTTTTTTTGAAGGGAAAGGTTTTACTATAGTTTAACATATAAAATAAGGGATTTGAATATTAGCCTTAAAAAAGACGGGTTTCATGGGCTGCCCATAGAGCATGCCCCACAACCTATCTCTTTCGTGCATTAGAAATATCTCTCGTGTTTGTGATGGGAGTTGTTCTCAATTCATGGAGGGGATGGGCTGTGGGGCACGCTCTGTGGGCAGCCCATCCTTACGAATATAATGCAATATGCATACATCAATATGGAGCATATCGAAATTTTTAACCTATCGACTTTTCCTTGGTGGAACCTCGGTTTATGGGTGTCAATGGACAGGTTTTGGGTTGGATYCATCCAAATCAAAATCAATTTAGATTTTAGACAAATTGAATGGACCAATAATACATTGAATTTGAGCGGTCCATTCATAATGAACTTATATTGGTTTGAGTTGAATTAAACCAATATCTAGTTTATTAGCAGAAGATAAGAATACAGGTGTCAATATTTTGGATCCATCCAAATCAAAATCAATTTAGACAGATTGGATGGACCAATAACACATTGAATTTGAGCGGTCCATTCATAATGAACTTATATTGATTTGAGTTGGATTAGACCAATATCTAGCCTATTGACAGAAGATAAAAATACAGGTGTCAATGTACCAGGTTTGAGTTGGAACCAATTTGAACAGATTATGTTGTCCAAACATTAAATTGAATTGGTCCAAAGTATTCACCGGATTGAATTGGACCTGACCCTGGAATCATATTGGACCGGACCGGATTGGACCAAACCCGGTCCAATATACACGCCTACCTCGGTTCTTCTCCCAACAGACAACAGTCACGGTGGACGGTTAGGCACACGGGAAGGTACACTATACGACAAAATTGGATATGTTACCTCATGGGTCCCACTCCCATCCCATGTTGTCTAAAGAATCGAAAAAATCAAGAGTTTGCACAAAGTTGAGCACAAAGTTGTTTTTTACGAGTATATCGTTGTAAATTGTAATTCTGTGAAATGAAATGAAGATGATGGCTGAAGCCACGGACAAAGGAAGAATATGCTAACAACCGTGGAACTGGATCTGGGTGGCTAATAGCATACGGGACACATATCCAATCAATGAGTTTGAGTTTAGGAGTTGGTTGCATTCTCTCGAACCCACTTTTACTCCTCCGATTTAGCTTTCCATCCTTCTTTTATTCTTCTTCTTCTTCTTCTTCTTCTTCTTCTCTCCCTCGCCATCGATATCGATCCTTCTCCGCCAATCCATTTTTGACCAGGCGTAAGCCCATCTCAGGTAATTAGTTAAAACAATATAGCCAAAATTAAGAAAAAAAAAGATATTTTCAAGTTTTCAATCTTGTTAGCTTTCTCTCTTATGTTGTCATTATCCCTTTTTTTTTTAATTTGGTTAGATGATCTGCTAACATTGAATTTGTATCCTTTATGATGATGAAGATGACTGATATTGGTAATATTAGTAGAAAGAATCAGAGATTCTATATGTATGCATCCTTAGCACTGTATTGCTGAGTGGTGGGGAATCAAAAATTATATTCCTCTAAGGTCTGTATACCAATATGGAAGTAACTAAACTTGCTAGCGTTTACGGGGTTGTGCAGGAAATAATAAATTGCTATTCCGCGCTCTAGATATTGGTCATCTGAGTGAACAACAATCAAACAAGACGATGAATTTGGCTCAGGAATGCCCGGAGGTGAATAGGAACCTTTATGCACATATTGAGCCGTATAGTTCAGGTTTTTTGAAGGTCTCTGATCTTCATTCGATCTATTGGGAGCAGTCCGGCAATCCAAATGGACATGTGAGTGGGAACTCGTTCCTCTATTCTGTTCTACCATATACTGATTTCTCATTTGACTATTTTATCTTTCTTTTCTTTTTTTGTTTTTTTTTTTTTTGGGGGGGGGGCGGGTTCAAATTGTTTAACTTGTTATTATTATCTTTTATGGAGTATTTTCTTTTTATGGAGTATCATCATCATCCGGACCAACTACTGCAAATAGATTTGTATTCTCTTTAATTTTTCAAATGATCAAGAAATCAGCATGATACATAATAATTTAGTTGTCATACCTGAAAGTTAAAAGCAATTCATGAATAGAATGCATGATTTKCCATTCTCCCTAATGTAAGTTTTGTTTTATGAATTGAAGAGTTGTCAAGTCTCTATAATTTCTTGTAGCTCTTTCTTTCCATATCAAGGAGGACAATTTCTGGTGCATTCTGCTGGTTCTCTGGATCTCATGATTATATTGGCTTCTAAAAATGTCATATTTTCAATAATTGAACAATATATTGAAAAATGTCTGATATCCTACACATTGATCCAGAGGCAAATGATTTTTCACCTGTTTATTAAAGATGCCTCCAAGTTCTTACTGCAAGTTTCTAACTGTTTCATCTCACCTAAAGGTGCATCAATGGCTGTATGGTCTTTCCTAACTTGTTCCATTTAGGTCTCTGGAAATCAGATTTAGGTTACAATCATCTTGGGATTTTTTAGTAGTCTTAACAAATTTGGCCTTCATTGTTAAGGGCATTTCTTCCGGCCTAGTAAATAGTAATTAGCATTTACAATTGAAAACCAAAAATGCAAGAACTTCTACCATGCAATTCAGAATGATGAGGTTAGTAATTTATTGTATTATATCTGGTACAAGGACAGTATGTCCTCATCTTTGTTGCATTTAAAGCTCAAATACCATTAAGCCTTGTTTTATGCTTTGATTGGTATTACAAATTCTCCTACATGCAATTCAGAATGAAGTGAAATTTATGAATTCACTCTCTCACATAGTATCTTAATAAGAACTGAAGACAAATTTATAAATTCTCTCACACATAGTATCTTACTATTTATGGTCATAAATAAAATTAACTGTGCATTTCTTGGTATTTTTAGATTTTTTTTGCATGAAAATTTTTAGGAAATTATTGGTCATGATCCATTTATTTTATGCTGCATGATGTGATCTTGTAATTATATCATTAGGGAAATTTTTTCTTGTTAATCCGGTTTCTAACTGTTTCTAACTTATAAACCTCCATTATTTGGCAGCCAGTTTTGTTTCTTCATGGGGGACCAGGAGGAGGAACATCTCCTAGTAATAGGAGATTCTTTGACCCTGAATTCTATCGGATCATTCTATTTGATCAGGTTTTCTTCTTTCAATATGATAGGCTAAATTATTCATCATCTGTTGCCTTCCTGCAAGGTTCCTTTTTTTAATGCAAACACCTTTTCATGTTCCAGCGAGGTGCAGGTAGGAGTACTCCCCATGCTTGCTTGGAGGAGAACACCACATGGGATCTTATTGATGACATCGAAAAGCTGAGAGAACATTTGGGCATTCCAGAATGGCAGGTTAAATATTCATTTTGCTTAGAAGGGTTTCTTGGTGTATATAATCTGATTGTTGATCTTCAGATAAATTATGCAGGTATTTGGTGGGTCATGGGGAAGCACACTGGCCCTTGCATATAGCCAATCACATCCTGAAAAGGTTCATGTCTGGGTTGTGCTTTTAATTATTGTTCATTACTTTATTTTGCAGCTACCTTTTTCTATACAAATGGATCTCTTTGCACAGATAAGTTACTTTGTTCAATTGGTAACATTTTCTCCACAATGTTATCCAAGGTCACTGGCATGGTCTTAAGGGGTATTTTTCTGTTACGGAAAAAGGAGCTTGATTGGTTTTATGAAGGCGGTGCTGCAGCTATATTCCCTGATGGTATTTTTCCAATGATGTTTTAGTCGTTCTACTGATTAATAAATGGTTTCATAAGTAAATTCATAGCATGGAAGCTGCCTTTAAACTTGGCTTTTGAAATGTTTCAGATGTTTACTAATTAAGAAAAGTTTATAAGTGTTACAGATGATCCTCTCTTTACATTTTGCATCTTCAAAACATTTTCAAGACATTGTATAATGGAATGTATGCTTTTGCTTACTCTTTTATAAAAGCAGCAATTCAGTGAAACTCTGCAGGCAACCTGTGCATGATTGTAAAGAAAAAGGAAATTGGTTTGGCACAGGAACATAACTTGATTCTGCACATCGCAGACTCTATTCCAAGGGAGATTTTCTTATTTCGTTTATTTGTTTTCCTTGGGTGGGGGTAGACATGTTACTCCAGGTGGCTGAATTATCTAGAGTCTCATTCTAGACATCCGCATAGTCCTGTACACTTCCCGTGCTGAATTGTTTCTGTCACTTCATGAAAGTTGTCTCATGTCCAAATTGCATAGAATTACCTTGAACATAACTTTTAATTGTTAAAATTAGGATATGTATTATTGCAATTTTTCTTGCTCCTGGTAATTTTATTATCTGAGTTTCTTTTTTTTTTCTTTTTTTTTTATTTTAGAGGAATGCTAATAAACAGCATTTTATGCAACTCTTCAGATTCTTTAACCACATATAGGGTGGAACCCTGGAACAGTCACGGTACTAGACTAAGCCAGATACATATTTTCATGGGTCTCACCTTGACTGTAGGGTGATGCGTTGCATCTTGGTGGTGTTTACTAGCATTCCTCTTTATCTTAATGTGCTTTACTTTTTGTGCTTAGCCGATTGATATGTTTCCTGTCAATTTTCAGCTTGGGAGCCCTTTAGAGATTTTATTCCAGAGAGTGAGAGGGGTAGTTTTATCAATGCCTACAAGAAGAGATTGAACTCTGATGATATTGAAATACAAGTAAGATTTCAAGCATATAGGTCCTTAGTTCTTTCTTTGCTTTTCTTCTTCTTTATTTTCCCTAAAGGACTTTAATTCATTTTTGTTAACTCCTCCAAGCATATTTTCCACAAATTGTGAGTTAGTATATTCTCAACTCAACAAAGCCTTAGCCCAACTCTATGGGTTTGACTACAAACATCCTGTTTTGACATTTTACTCCATGGAGCATGATATTTTATCTATTGTTACATTGCGATTCATCAAATTATTTCTTACTACCCCCACCCATGTCCTTTTTGGCCTGCCTTAGCTCTTCTAGACCCTTCAACTTTCATCAATCCACTTCCTGGTGCAGCAAGTGATCTTGTATGCAAGTGTTCAAATCATCGTGGTCTACTTCCTTTCTTTTTGTCAAGAATTGGTACATTCAAATGAAGAAATCCTATTGGCCTGTGCACCTTCAGATATCATTTGCTCTGTATTGGGAGTAAGAATTTGTTAATCTCATGAAAGAATCCCAACAAGTATTGTGTTCAGTGGATATAATAGGAACCTTGATGATCTGGTAGAAGTTCAATGCAGATCTTGTCTAAATTCTAAAGCAAAAGATATGACTTGCTTTATGTCTTCAATCATTTTCGAGGTGTTATATTGATTCTACCCTTTTTGTCTTGGAAAGAGGAACATGTAATGTTAGATATTCTTTTACCAATGGCAATAAATGTCAAGGAATGTATAAGGTTATCCTTTACTTCTTAATCCTCCATACCATACTCCTAGCTTAACTATCAGAAAATTAATTGGTTGACCCTGGAATTCATCTCAACAAACTATTCAATCTAGAGKCCCAAGGCTCTAGCATATCTGGTATAACAACTGCAATGACCAAAAAAACAACAAGACCACCTACTATCTAACTAATAACCATGTAGTAGTCTCCCTCAATCTCTACTATCTCAACTCGAGAACATAAGTTTGAGGCCATGGAAAAGGGCCAGAGTCACAGCACAAAAGGAGTTACGATCCTGGTCTAGCCAGAATACAGTATTCTGATTTTGCATGCTTCATCCCCCAAATTCTCTCAACACCAAATCTACCCCAGATTTCCAAGAGGGAATCCATGCAAATTATGTTTGAGTGTTTACTAAGGAGGGGATTAATCCTGCTAAATCCTTAATTCATGGATTGCCAACTTCTATAGTATATAGGGAATTTCATCCGGTTGAGGCAACATCTTTTGCAATGCACTGTGATGTTCATATTGTGTAACTTACAATGGCCAGTTATAGATAGAAATCTTCCACTTTATGCATTACCTCTATACTGCACCATCTCCTTCACTGAATCAATGCATTCCCTACCCATTAATGAAGAAAAAGATATAGATACGGTTTTAGTCTGGTTGATTGTGCTTATAAATTGAAAAGTGTTATTTCTTTTGCTTTTTTTTTTCTGTTTATGCCTAGTATGCGGCTGCTAGGATGTGGACCAAATGGGAAATGATGACTGCTCATCTTCTTCCAAATGAAGAGAGTGTGAAAAGAGGGGATGATGACAAATTTTCATTGGTAAGCCTTTTTTTTTAAGCTTAACTGGATACTATACATGTTTTTGATAATCCAACATAGAAAATTAAAAATTACATGCATGGTAAAATGCTTTAGTGCACAATTTTTAAATTATGTAATCAGCTTGCTCTATTGAACACAACTAATATGTGCATGATAAGATAACAGGGCAATTGTAGTTATACATTGTTGTATCATGCATTACTAGCAGAATACACGAGTTTCTTATTTGTTTTTCAGAGTAGATTTTTTTATAATAAGGATGAGAGACAATAAAAAAGGAAATGTGGAAGTGTTAGGATTCAATTATTTCTTCTTATTCCTCATAAGCACATTTAAATGTATGCATAAAATGCATAAAAAGATGTGTATATTGTTCTAAGGCACATTATATACATACATACATACATACATACATACATGCATACATAAAGTGATGCTGCTTGATTGTCATGGTATAATTAAATTGGATACCAACCTTGGATCCCATCACCTGAAAGAGGATTTTCAATCTTAAAAGCTCACAATCTGTGTTAACATTAGCTCTATATTCAGTTATGAACTAGATGTTGTGTTAGAATTAGCTCTATATTCAGTTATGCACTAGATTTTTTATCAATGGTTATGCGCTAGATTTTTTATCAATAGTTATGCACTAGATCTTGCCACTGCACTTTGTTTCTTGCAATTCTAAAGGCTCTCTTAAGATATCTCAGGTTAAAAAGTATTGAGTTCCTGGAAGACAACAGGGATCTATCTAATCTATCTAATTCTATTACAATTTCAGGCAATCTATGGGTGTAGGCAATAGGGTTAGGCCAGCCCTTGCAATAGATTCTAGAATTATTAAAGAATTTATTATTTCCACTAAGGCACAATTTAATCTTCTTTTTCCTTTGGAAAGGTGAAGTATGTAACAGAAAATGATTACATCAGCATGTCAGCACCCATTTACACAAAGGCATTGTACATTGGGAATGCACGGAAAATAGCAATGGTGTCAAGAGCTTCTTTTCATGCAAATAGGCTATCAAAGTTTTTTAAGTTTTTTTTTTTTTTAATTTTTTTTTAATGCTTGTAGGGTACTTACCTGAAAAAATTTTGAATAACATAGACTACCCTAGGCCAGCCTTGCAAATTAAATGGCCATAATTTTCCCAATTCACAAGATCTTGATCACATTGTATAGGTAACTGAAAATCTATCTGATAACACAAATCATGTAAAACTAATAAGTTTGACCCTCAAAAATAGGTCAAAAGAAAAGTGGCATGATTCCAATTACTTAAGGTCGAAGAGAGTTTGTGGACACCACTGCACAGAATAGCATACTTGCAAAGGGGCCATTTGATAACAACTGAAGTGGCTGAATTAAATGACATTGCTTTGTCTTTTAGTGAATAAATTATTGAGGAGGCTGGGATCTCCTTAATGGCTGAATTTGAAGTTGGCTTGGTTACTATAGCCTTGAATATTCATTATTTATTTACTTTGTTCATTAATAGAAAAAGGAGTAACTCACCAGTCACCACTTTATTGGCAAACAGTCCCTAAAACTTTTAGACACCCTAAAACAGCTTATTAAAGAGTTAGCCTACTAAAAAAATTCCAAAACTCAAAAGCCTTTGCAAATGTGGAATATATAACAAAGTTATTATAATTCCCCTCAGGCATTGATATCTTTGCCAGGCATTCCACTAGAGATTATCCAGGTCAATAGGCCCTATAGGAATCTCCTAGGCCCCATGAAGAAAACCCAATTTTAAGTAGGGACTTCACAAATTGCTATTTTGCCCCTATTTCTTTTCTTTTCTTCTTTTTTATGCTTGCCACCTAACTCATGGAAGAATGAACTCCCAAGGTCTGTGGTTTTGTATAAAATTTCTTCTTTTTTTTTTCAGTTTTAGAGACCATTCTCAATATTCTGGCAATTTTCTCCGAGGAGAAAACAAAAGGGTTATGAATACCTCCTCCCTTAAATTGCATTAAAATGATCTTTGATGGATGAATTCTCTCAGCAATTCAGAGGATTCAGGAGTTGGAGGTGTTTTTAAAAACCATGAAGGATGTATCATGGCTATCTTCTTGGGTCTCATTGGTTTTGGTAACTCTATAAGAGCAGAATTGTCAGCTTTTCAGCATGGCCTGACAATGGTTGGCAAAGAATGGTGGGGGATCATGGCAATACAGGAATGGGCTCTGAGAAATAACGAAATTGGAGAGGGAGTAATCACATGTAGGTGGATTCCTAGATCAGATAACAGTTTGGTTAATGCACTTGCAAGACAAGGAGCGGATAGAGAACAATTATTTTGGGGGAGAGATCCCCCAAGAAGGGGGTTTGTAATGTAAAAATAAAGAAAAGGGGGGCTGCAGGTATTGGCCCTTTGCTCTGGTTTATCTCTTTGTACAACATTCTTTACGTTATAATTAATAAAACTGTTTTGTTACTGATCAATAAAAGACAATATTCTGGTGATGTCCAAATACTGATACAAGAACCTGAAAAAGGTAAATGTATGTTTGTATTTTCTACTATGCACAGGTTGACATTCTACCTAATCGGGTATATTAGCTGCGAGATTTTGTTGCATAACATGGATTGTTGATATCTAACCATCTTTCAATTACAGGCATTTGCAAGAATCGAAAATCATTACTTTGTGAACAAGGGCTTTTTCCCATCAGATTCATTCCTTTTGGATAACATCGAAAAAATAAGGCATGTCAAGACTACAATTGTACAGGTAATCTGGTTGCAACTGTCACAAAGATAGTAAGGATAAGCATTCCTTTTGCTTTTATTGCAATGTGCTGATGATGGTTCATTTATTTCTGCTAAATTATGTAGGCATGTAACAACTATGATTGTAAGTGGCACTTTCTGCCAATTGTTTGGTAAATTTTGAGCAATGAGGGAAAAACACATCTAAATATCCTGTTGTTAGACTTCATATATCACGTTTCTTATGATTAGATCTTTATTACTTAATAAAAGTAATAATGACCAGATCATTCACTTTTTTAAGTTCATGATCATCATCCAAGCCTTATCCCAGCTATATGGGGCTGGCTACATGAATCCTGTTTCTCCATTCAGTTCTATTTAATGTCATATCCATTGTTAAATTATTAGCACTCTAATCATTTCTTACTATTTCTATCCATGTCCTTTTTGGTCTACCTCTACCTGTTCTAGCCCCTTCAACTTGCAACAGATCACTTCTTATGGGTGTTGTCAAAGGTATTCTATGCATGTGACCAAACCATATTAGTCTATTTTCTCTTGTTTTATCACCTATTGGAGCTACTCTTGGGTTTTTTGAATGACTTCATTGCTGACCCCATCCTTTCTAGTTTTTCCACTCATCCATCTCAGCATACGCATTTCTGCTACATTCATTTTTTTGGACATGTTTCTGGACTGCCCAACACTCTGCCCCATACAGCATAGTTGGCCTTACAACTATTTTATAGAATTTTCTTCTTAATCTAAGGGGTATTCACCTACCACATAGGATTCTGGATGCACCCTTCCATTTTTGTCCATCCTACTCTGATTCTGTGGACAGCATCCTCCTCAATCTCCCCCTTGTTATGAATTATTGAACCAATGTACCAAAAAAGGTCACATTGAGTTATCTCTTGGTCTCCACTGGTAAATATACCCTGGTTTGCACTTCTATTATTATTGTTGTTGTTGTTGTTATTAAATTTATATATTACATATTCCGTTTTAGTCCTACTTATTTTAAAACCTCTTGTTTCTAAGGTATTTATCTGTGAACTTAATTTTGCATTTAATCCTTCATTTGTTTCATCGATTAAAATAGTGTCATCTATAAACAACATGCACAATAGACCTCTTGAATATGTTTAATCAATCCATCTATGATCAGTAAGGGTTTGTTAGTTGAAAAATCAAAATTATGTGGGCCATAGCAGCTCCATCAGTGTAATATATTAAAAAATGAAGGTGTCAGTCTCTTATTTATGCCTTTAGGAGGCCACCTCTAGTGGACCTCCATTTCTCTTGATTTAAGCTAATGATATCCTTGGACAAGGGTTTTCTTTTTTCCCATACTTGCTTACAAGTATGCATGCATCATCTATGATCCCTAGAAGTGATAATGTCCATCACCTTAAATAAAATATGAGAGACAACCATTGGTAGAGTGTAGCAGATTAGATAAATGCCAAGAGATCTGAATTCCATAGCAGATGGTCTAGCCAAATACGGAGGATGGAGAATTTTCATTTCATGCTGACAGCTCTCTTCTTAATTATATTTATGCAAGGGATAGGCCGCTTGTTCATATTTTGTGCATCTTTGTCTCTCTCTTTCTCTCTCTCTCTCTCTCTCT